GTACCACTGCCAATCTCGGTGTCGCCGTTAGCGCTCCCGTCTCCTGTACAAACAGCGTTGCCAGGTTGACGTTTTTAACGTCATTTGGACGTTTTTTGTACCCTGTTGACGTTTGGACGTTTTTTGTGTAAAAAATGACGTTTTTTAACTTCCCAGTAATTTTTCTTTGTTACTAAATCTTATCAGTAGAACTGATTTTGAATTATTTTCCTAATAAATCTTTACAATCTTTCGGTTTTGCTGCAGTTGCTTCAAAAGATTTTTTCTGGATTTTTGGACTAAGGATCCCGTGTTCAAAGGCTGGTTGTGTAAATACTTGAGGTTACGAGGCTTGCTGTAATGTTTGCAATTGTACATTAAAAGCCAATTCAGGAATAGCCGATCTATTGCAGCAGGCATACTCGCAAAAGCATCAAAAAACTGTGCAGCACAAAATGTCAGAAAAAAGTAGGCGACTTTTTTAAGACTTCATTGTAATGAACACAAAAAATACTGAAATATTAGGTCCATTCAATAACTTTTCCAGTAAGTACTTGCGGCGAGAGCGTAAAAGAAAAATAGAGAGTAAAGTTAGAGCAAGAGAAAATTTTCAGAAAAAGTTATTGAACGCAAAACTAGTAAAAACTTGCAGCTGAAGCCATTTTGTCACTTTCTGACGGTTAAGTTTTAGCGCGCAATTTTCTTTTTAATTGGGAATAGTTCCCATCGTCATAAAAATAAAAAAATATACAATAGATTTAAATTTTTCATCCATATTTTCATTTCACTAATTATGTTTCATCAAATCCTCCTCTTAAACAGTTTGTTTATATTTGAATTTGAAACATAACCTTACTTTTTGACTCCTGCCAATTCCTGCTACTAAAATTTTTACTTGCAAGAATTTGCAGCTCTCTCGGGTTGTTACGCTCTCGAATTCGCTCCCTCTTGCAAATATTTTGGGTTATTGAATGCATTCCCAGTAAAAACTTGCAAGTACTAGCAAACAATTCGTAGCAATTTTTTGATATTGAAGGGACCTATTGCTATGCTCCTTCTTAGCAGAACGTAATTTAGCATTTTCGACAACCGAGCCCCTAACCAAACGTCTACAAGAAAAAAAATTATTAAAAATCAACGCGATTATTTAGCCCCTTTAAACTTGCACATTATTGCCCTGAAATTTAATGGGCTATCAAACTCAAAAAAAATTCTGAAAACTCTTTTCAGACCAAGAGAGACGTTTTTTCATGCCGAAGACCTGGCAACACTGTGTACAAATACCCGCCGAATAATCTCCGGCACCGACTGCCGACTCTCTCTCTTTATTCCCTCTCTCCCCTCAACACCAAGTTGCCGGTATTCTAGATAGCCGCGTGTGTGTGTGGGTGTATTCGACATAGTACACAAATCAAATTTGTTTTATTTGGTGGGGGTTAGTGGGACCTTCGCTCCAAATCACTTCGAAACGCTTCAGTTTTGGTGTGTTTTCACTGTTCGCGTTTGCTAACCAGCGCGCGCCGTGCTCTCGCTTGTGATGATATATGTACATTAGACTGCATCCCCAAAAAAAGTTGCGGTTTTTCCGCTGGGATTACAAAGTTTATTATATTTTAAGACGTCCACCAAAATATTTCGGAAAAATATTAAGATTTAAGCGAGCTGGACCGATTTGAAAATACCTCCAAAAATGAAGCTTTTTATGAATAAAAATAGTTTCTTAAAGAACTTTTTGAAAAAAGTCCCCTCAGATGACAAATTAGATTAAGCTTAAAAAATCTGCATAAAAATATTTAAAAATCCTTTCAACGGAATCGTAAGAATGAAATTTTTGATGCCGTTTTTTACTTTTTTCAAATATTGGTTTACGAAAAACTTGGCAAAAAAACGTCATTCGTGTCCCATCTTGTTTTTTCGAATACCAACACATCTTAATTCCACTTTGAATGACGTTCGTTCTTCGTACCTTTCTCTTCCATCGTTTGAATGAGTTTATTAGCAAAGAAATAAAAAGGGTGAGAAAATACCTTTCCAATGATATCTCACAAGTCTAAATCGGGAGAGCTTAGGCTCAGTTATTCAAGTTTTTCTTATACCAATCTTTTAAAAAAGTCAAAAACAGCATAAAAAATCTCATTATCACGATTCCGTTCAACTTTTTTTTTATATTTTTTAAAAATATTTTTACGCAAATTTTTTAAGCTTAAACCGTTTTGTCATTTGAGGGATTTTTTCAAAAAACATCTTTAAGAAACTATTTTTATTCATAAAAAACTCCATTTTTGGAGGTATTTTCAAATCGGTCCAGCTCACTTAAATCTTAATATTTTTCCGAAATATTTTGGTGGACGTCTTAAAATATAATAGATTTTATAATTCCAATGGAAAAATAGTACAGATTTTTTTTTTGTACGGGGAGTGATGCAGTCTAATGTATATACATACATATATGAGATTTTCTTTTAAATCAGTAAGATATATTTATATATCTCATATATACATATAAGTATGTATACGAGGTTGAGTACTATTCGTTTTTGTCATTCACAATCTATAACACTGGTCTACAAATTTCAACTTTTTTTCTGCGAATAAGACGGGACCTGGTGTTTCTGAACGGATTTTTCGTGCTGAACACGAATCCGGGGTCAAAAATGTCCCATCACGTCACGTTTTCGAGAAAAAAGGGGTTGAAACCCCTAAAAACAGCGTTTTTGGCCATTTTCGAAAAATTATAGAGCTGAACCCTGACGTGGTACAAATTTTGCATATATCAGAAATTAAAGGCTAAACCGTGCCCTTTCGAATGAGCCCTATGCCGAATTGATCGCGTGCACCCTTAAAGCAGGGGGTGTATTTGTGTTTAGGGGTGCAGGAAAAATTGATCACAGAAAGAATTTAATCTTAAACGATCATAGAAAATTAATAATGCCAAGGTTTTAACTATATTAAAAGTCGCTGATTACGAATCTGCAGTTAGATTTTAAAAATTTAAGATGACGGGTCGAATATGGTGGATATAAAAATTGGACTCCTAGACACAAATACACCCCCTGATCTAAGGGTGCATGCGATTAATTCGGCATAGGGCTCATTCGAAAGGGCACGATTTAGCCTTTAATTTCTGACATATACAAAGTTTGTAGCACGTCAGGGTTCAGCTCTACAATTTTTCAAAAATGGCCAAAAACGCTGTTTTTAGGGGTTTCAACCCCTTTTTTCTCGAAAACGTGACGTGATGGGAAGTTTTGGACCCCAGATTCGTGTTCAGCACGAAAAATCCGTTCGGAAACACCAGGTCCCGTCTTATTCGCAAAACCCTTGTACACCAGTGTAATCTATACTAATTATATAAAGAGAAGTCCCATTTTTTTGTAACAGGTAATCTCGCGAACGGCTGGTCCGATTTTCATGAAATTTTGTATACAAATAGCCTTCGGTAACCACCATGTTTTAGGCTAAAAAAATGTTACTTTTTTCGGGTAGGTGGACCAGGGACCGGTCTATTCGAAAAAATCTTATTATAGTCCGATTTGCATAAAATTTAGTACGTAAGTAGCTTTTTAGCATATATGACCCATTTTTTCCGGGAAGTGGTCCAGGGACCGATCTATTCGAAAAAATCGAATTTACGGTCCGATTTGCTTAAAATTCGGCGCGCTGGTAGCTTTTTAGCATGTATTAGCATATGTGACCAATTTTTTCCGAGAAGTGGACCAGTGACCGATCTATTCCAAAAAATCGCATTTATGGTCCGATTTGCTTAAAATTCGGCACGTACGTATTTTTTTAGCATATATTAGGATATATGGTCCATTTTTTCCGAGAAGTGGACCAGGGACCGATCTATTCGAAAAAATCGTATTTACGGTCCGATTTGCTTAAAATTCGGTACGCAGGTAGCTTTTTAGCATATATTAGCACATATGATCCATTTTGTCCGAGAAGTGGACCAGGGACTGATCTATTGGAAGAAATCGTATTTATGGTCCGATTTGCTTAAAATTCGGTACGTAGGTAGCTTTTTGCCTGGATAAGCTTATAGGTTCCTGTTTTCCAATTTTAATGCAATTTCGAATATAAATAGCATTAAGTAACGACCATATCAAGGGGCGAATTCGTCACTAGGCAAGATTTTTTTGCGCTAATCAGAAACAACGGATACTGTCAAAATATAATTATAATATATAATATATCTCAACTAATATATATTTAGAACCGTTTGTTAGTTTTCGCAAGGCTCGAGAGCGGCTGAACAGATTTTTTTGAAACTGCCACTGCCTGTCCCAAGGATGGTTTTAGGCTGAAAAAAATCTATATGTAAAGGGGGCGTGGCACTTCCCATACAAACCGAATTTCTCATGCTACATATCTCTGAAAGTGTGCATGATATGGAGATATACGAAATCAATCGCATACCCTTGGAGAAAAATTTTAGCTTTTGTAAAAAGGGGTGTGACATCTCCCATACAAACCGAATTTTTCATA